CGGGCTGAAGTATACCTCCGACTGAAGGTTTTGTGGACAGGCGCGCAAGTTCCTTGTCGCCAACATCACTCTGTTGCGCAATTTCCATTGCGTTTACATCTGTCACCCTGGCTGCCGCGGTAAGATCCACCAGGCATACCGGGTGAATTCCAGGCGAGAATTCAACAACAAAGTCGGCCAATGCTTGGACTTTGATGGCGGTTCGGGGTTGAAACTTGACGTCGAATTTCCCTAGTTCGACTACACACTTCAGAATTCAGACGAAGAAATCCGCCCGCCCAAATAAGGCTTTCAGAGGGAATTCGGTCAACACCACAATTGTGTGAGCATGAAAGTAGTATGCCAATTTCCTGGAGGCCATCATTAGCGCCAAAGCAAGTTTTTCCAGTGGCAAATACCTCGACTCTGCCGGTAGCAAGGTTTTGCTCACGTAAAAGATAGGGAGATGTTCGATGCCTTCTGACTGGACAAACACCGCACTAACTGCATGTTGAGAAATAGCTAGATAAAGGCAAAGTTCTTCGCCGAGCTTGGGTGTCACCAAGAGTGGGGCGGAAGACAAATACGTCTTGAGCTCGGCCAAGGCCCTTTCACATTTTTCATCCCATGAAAACTTGCACTTCAAGGCTCAAAAGAAATGGCAGCAACGATCTAATAACCGGCTTATGAATCGGTTAAGCACGGTTGTCATGCTGGCAAGATGTTGCACGTCTTTTGTCGAGTTGGGCTGCTTCAATTCTTGTTTGGCTTTGATTTGTGAGAGGTCCGCTTCGATGCCTCAGTTGGTGACTAAGAAGCCCAAGAATTTCCCTGATCCCACACCGAAGGCACACTTTGACGTGTTCAGGCGAAGCTTGTGTTGTTTAAGAATGGCGAATATCTCGGGAAGGTCGGATAAGTGGTCGGCCTGCTACTTGCTTTTGACCACCATGTCGTCGATGTAAGCCTCCATCATGCGGCCTAGCAGAGGGGCGAACATCTTGGTCATCATCCTTTGGAAAAGTCGCCCCAGTGTTTTTCAAACCAAAAGGCATGACTCTATAGCAGAACAATCCGCTTGGGGCCGTGAAAGAGGTTATCTCGCGGTCGGGTGCATGTATGGCGATATGGTGATAACCGCGATAGGCGTCCAAGAAACTAAGCCGCGACTGTAAGATCCATTAGCTGGTCTATTCTAGGCAGAGGAAAGCTGTCTTTAGGGCAAGCTCGGTTGACCATCTTATAATCAACGTAAACTCGCTACTTCCCATTCTTCTTGGGTACTACGACCGTGTTCGAAACCCACCGAAGATAGTGCACTTCCTGGATTGCCCTAGCTTCCAGCGGGTTCTTGACTTCCTCCGCGACTACCTCGGCGTAATGAAGGGCTGATCTCCTTATTCTTTGAATGACAGGATGAGCATCCGGAAAGACATTGAGTTGGTGGCAAATAAAGCTTGGATCAATGTCAGGCATGTCCTATGGCGTCCATGCAAAGACCTCAATATTCGCCACCAAGAACTCCACCATCTCGGTCCTTTCTTGGGCAATTAGGCTAGATCCCAACAAAAAGAACTTGTTAGGATTCTCTGTTTTGATCCGCACCTCCACCAACTCTTTAACAGCCTTTTCCTCGGCCCTAGTGCCCACATCATCCAGGACACTTTGGTCTTCTGGACCTTCGATCATTTGCACGAAGCCTTTGGCTGCTCGGTTCCCATTCACTGCCATGAAACACTGCTTTGCCATGACTTGATCTCCCCAAATCTCCTCAACTTCCCCCGTAGCCAAGAGGAACCTGATAACCTAGTGGTAGGTCAATGCCACCGCCTGCATGGCGTGAAGCCATCCCCTACCAAGGATCAGATTGTATGTGGATGGCACCTTCAACACCCAGAACTCCACCTGCTTGACCACGGATCCGGCTTTGACTGGTAGGATTATCTTTCCCATTGGGCACTCCGGTTGTGAGTTAAAACCAACCAGTGGTGAAATTGCCAGAGCCAAGTCTGTATCTTAGAGTTTGAGCTGCTTGAAGGCGTCGTAGTACATGATCTCGACTGAGCTGCCTTGGTCGATTAAGATGCGCTTAACATCGAAGCCCCTGACGCGAAGGGTGACCACTAGGGCATCATTGTGCGGCATTTGAATGCGCTCAAGATCCCTACTTGAGAAGCTAATCACATTTTTCTCCTTGATCTTGCCTTTTTTATCGCGGGCTGTACTAACAAAATCTCCCTCATATGTTCCGCTTTTTTTATCATCCCACGGAACTAGCATACCCGCGCTGGCTCTACTATACCATGGATCACATTGACCACTCCTTGGGGGGGGTTACCTCTAGGTCGTCCAAACCGCTTGGCTCAGCTGGTGCGTGGTGCGCGGCCCTGACGCCCCCATCGATGTAACGGTCCAAGTGACCGGCGGCGACTAACTCCTCCAAGTGTTGCTTCAAGGGCAAGTAGTCCTCCATCCGGTGCCCTCACTCCCTATGAAATATGCAACGGTACCGCGGATTAAAGCCCTTTTGGGCATCGCCAAGCTTAGTGGGAAACTGGACATAAACCTCGTCACGAATTTTACTAAGTATACGGAAGATTGGGATCTTAAACACCGTAGTGATGACCGTCCGAGCGTTCAACTTTTTGTTTGCATCTGCTGCGTCATCGCGGGGATAATCTGCTCGGTCATTGCGGCGACCTTTACCTCGATTTCTACGATCCGGACCACGATCGGATTCCCTTGTGCGATCACTTGGACGGTTTGTCTCCTGTTCGACCGCGTGTACTTTTCCTGCCACCCTTTTGTCCGTTGCCACCGAATTTGTCTTCGCGGTGGATGCAGCCGCATCGTCCTCTACGTGGATGTGCTTGCTGATGCGCTACATCAACAGCTCCATGGAAGTCGGCTGGTTCATCATGAGCGAGTCCCTTAGTCTATGTCCGACCGGGAGACCGCGTTTATATTGGGTAATTGCTAGGTTGGTCGGGCAATCAAGGATCTCGAAGAAGGTTTCCCAATATCTGGCGTTGTATGCCTTGAGGGAGTCGCCTGACTCCATCTTAACGCTCAGGAGGTGGTAAACTTCCTTTGGCGTTTTAGTGTTGGTTTTGAATCGAGTCACGAACGCTTTCGCCAACTGTTGCTACCTTTCGATGCTTTCCTTCAGAAGCCTCTCAAACCACATCAAACCCAACTCGCCCAAACTCGACGGGAAAATAAGGCACATGAGAGCATCATTACGCCTGTATCCGTCCAGCCATAACTTGCCAGAAATGGCTCATGTGCATGTATAGATCGGTCTTTCCGTCATAAAGCGTAAATTTGGGCTGGTGAAAGCCCGCTGGGAGCGGTGTAGTCTCTATCTCGAAGAAGAAGATAGTGGTGCTCAGCCTTGCCAAATCTTTGTCCAAAGGGAAATGCACGACTGAACGGGGCGGCGGCATTGCTACTTCTTCACTGGCGCGACCACCGTAGGATAGCCATTGAAGCGCCGGCACCCTTTGAGTCCGCTAGTTCTGGTTGCCTCAGCGGCGGGGTTGGGTGCGCTCACTATGGTCACCCACTCCAGTAACACCCTTCCCTTTGACTTGCCGTTTGAGAGCTTCTATCTCTGCCACCATTCTCTGGATAACGGCGTCTTGGTCCCTCAACTTGTGCTCCAGGCATTGAGTGTGCGACTCTCTTCGCCGCCGGTATCCGTCTAGACTTTGCGAGTGACCAACGCTCCTAGCGCGCTTATCTCGCGCATCTCTAGGAAGTCCTCCTGGTGAGGTCTCCAGGCCTGCCATGTTCGGAACGGCAGGAAGTCCGTCTCTTCGTCGGATTGACTCCGGGGTAATACCGTCGATGGCAAACAATGGTACTTCATCATTATTTGCCATGGAAGATGATTCGCTAGGCTTGGAGGGCAAGGTTGTGTCTGCTCAAACTTCCCACAGACGGCGCCAATTGTACGGGAGCCAAATATCTGTTATCACCCGCGCTCTTCGCGTCCAAGTTGCGCCTTCCTCCGATCGACCTGCAAACACAACGTAGGTGAGCTATCCGGTGGTGCGTTGCCGGAAAACCCCTCCGACGGTCAAATGAGCACACACTCAGAGAAAGAGAGAGGAGAGAAAAGACAATGTGTTAGAGTTTCTCTCACTAGAAGATGTTTCATCCCCAACATGGGGGCCGCAGTCATGTTTATATACTTTCTATGCTTACCTCTGCGTCTATTCGCCCTTTGACGCGTAGACCTGCTCTCTTATCCCACTTTCCCACGTGTCAGCGTAAATACAGCTAAACACCACTTAACCAAACTGCCAAACGGTGTTGGCGCGAACAGACAGCCTGATGGCACTGCCCTATCTCCCCGCGACCATACTACCTCTGAGACAAGCAATGCTTCAAGCCCAGCTCCATTATGACCGAGCTCTTGCTCGATTGGGCCGGTCTGCGGAGGATCCTGCATGTTGATCGCAACGATCAAACAACGCGAACCGGGCTGGCAAAGAAATTATCCCTGCCAAATTCGAGATGGGCTTTAAACGAGCGCACTGCCACTAGATTGGCCCAACTCAGTTCGGCCCAAACATGCTCGGACCAACTTTAGCTCAGTCATTATCATGGCCCAAAGCTGGATTATGAAATCTCCCTCTCAATTACATTATTTCTCTAGTTTTTATATATATATTTTTATAAAAAATTAAAAATATATAATTATTAAACCCTGCCAAAACAATCTCAAAATGTTATTTTAAAGGAAAATGCCTCGTAGTTCAAATTTTGTGGCTCAAAAGTGGCTCAAATGGCCAAAACGATTTTTATGTTGTTCTGTACTCAAAACGACGTTGTTTTAGCTATTTGAGTCACTTTTGAATCACAAAATTTAAGTTACTTAGCATTATCGTATTTTAAATTGTCACGCATGTTGCAAAAAATTCTATCAATTTTCCTTTGAATAATAACCATCCCAATATTGAGGGGAGAGAGAGTCCACACCAATACTGAGGAGAGCCAGTGAGCCACGTGTTCCATACGGTCAGTTTCACTCTCAATTAATTTTCACATACAGGAAACCCCCTAAAAAAGTCCCAAACAGTAGTAGTAGTAGTGCAAAAAGCCTAACAAATGGAAAGCATACAGGAATCCCCCCAAAAAAAGTCCCAAACAGTAGTTGTAGTAGTGCAAAAAGCCTAACAAATGGAGACTGAGATTGATCAAACCCAGATGAAAAACAACAACAATAATAATAATGAGAAGAAACCCAGAATTCTGTGCCTCCATGGATTCAGGACAAGCGGTGAAATCCTGAAGAAACAGATGGGGCGGTGGCCGGAGATGGTTCTGGGAAGGTTGGACCTGGTCTTCCTCGACGGCCCTTGTCCAGCAGCAGGCCAATCTGATGTTCAAGGCTTCTTCGATCCTCCTTACTACGAATGGTTCCAGTTCCGCCAGGTCTTCTCTTCCTCCTTTCTCTACCAATTCTGTTTTCTTCTGTTTTTCTTTTTTTGTTTTTTCTTTTTTTCTCTCTTTTATTTTTTTTTATGTTCTTTTTGAGAAAATAAAATATAAAAAAAGCCAAACAACTTGATAACATTGACCATTTTCATTTTGTGCGAAAAAATAATTTTACAAAAATTTAGAACAATTTTTTGCTATTTACAGCAATAGAAGATTTGAAAAATGTGATTTTGTTAACTCTATTTTTTCTTGTAGGATTTTCAAGAGTACTATAATTTTGAAGAATGTCTTGCTTACATCGAAGATTATATGATAAAACACGGACCTTTTGATGGTTTACTGGGTTTTTCACAGGTGCGTAGTTTGATTTTAGGGTAGACTAAAATAAACCCCTTAGGTAGTGTCATATGCTTTACGTAAGATCTAATTTTGTTTAAATGCCTAACAAAATTGTAATAGAAGGGGTTAAATGTAATAAGATAATACTTTGAGACAGTTAATTGTTGCGTTTTAAAGTTTAGGGGGCAAAATGAAAATAGGTCATAGTTAAAGGGTATTTATGGTAATTTACCCTTGACTTTATGTAATTTGTGTTGGTTCTTGGAAATAATAATATAGTTTTATAGTAAATTATACTAATCTCTCCTAAGGTTCGATGAAATTACATCATGTCCCATATTTTTAACATAATTATAATAAAATCCCCCAATAATGGCTTTGTTTTCCCATTTTTTTTTCATTAGGCGCCCCATTTCTTAGGGCACTCCTAATAATCCCAATCCTACCCTCACCTAATCCAGTCACCCTTTCACCGCCGATGCCACCTCTGCCACTGTTGGCACGACGCATTCATCTATGTTTGTGCCCCCCTACCACCAATACCCAGCCCTCTCCCACCGCAAGTCTCGTTCCCCATTTGTGTTCTCTTGCCCCACCAACGACCTGCCGTCTGCCGTCACTCCCTCTTCTTCTTAAAGAGATGAGGAAGAAGAAGATGAAGGAGATTCACAATAGGGGAAAGGGCAAAGAAGAAAAATGGAGAAACTCACGTTGGTTGGAAAGAAGGGGATGGATGGAAAATTTGGGGGAAGGGTGGCTGTCAGGGGGTAGGGGGCTTGCAAATGGGTAGTGGAGGTTGGGTAGGGGCTGAGAGGTGGTGAAGAAGGGTAGGAAAGGTCTGGTGGGTGGCATCGGAGAGTAACCAAAACAAGGAGGGGCTAGTTGGAGCTGGGGAGTTTACTGGAGTTAGGGTTTTGACTATTTTGTAATTGAATGAGGAGGTAAAGCGGTATTAAAAACAATTTGAAACTTGGAATGTCCAATCAAAAAAATTTGGTGCATTCAGAGCCATTCCGTTAACTAAACTAATGGATAATATGAAAACAAGTTTCTACCCTTCTTTAACCTAGTGAATTACCTTTTATCATATTCCACTGAAGTATATGTATTTATGCCCTTTTTAACATCACATGGTACCACCACTTCACTACCGTGGAGCCTTCACCACACAACACACAGCACCTCCACTACATTCTTGTCCCTCTCTCCACCACCGCAACCAATCACACAGTCATACCCTCTTCCCCTCCTCTCCTCCCTTCCAACAGTGCACACAACCACCTCTCATCTCCCTCCACCACAACAAAATCAAACCAAAGCTAAATAAAACCTACACAAATTAGCACACATCAAAATCAAAACCCACATAGATCACGAAAACCCCAAAAAGAAAAACTAGAGCAAATCAAAGCCCACACCGATCAACAAAGATATCAGCAAAAATAGTGACTTCATTAATGGATATTTAATGGCATGGGTCAAATTGTTATGCAAATATAAAATTCAAGAGAGGTTGTAAATATGTCAAAATTATGGGGCTAGATGTAATTTCACCAAACCTCTAGGAGGTGAGTGTAATTTATCCCTATTTTTTATTACGAAACTGAAGTTTGTTGGTTATTGTTGCTCATAATGAATTATAGGGGGCGATTATATCTGCCGCGTTGCCCGGAATGCAATTGCATGGGGTGGCACTTACTAAGGTTCCAAAGATAAAGTTTCTGATAATAATGTCAGGGGCTAAGCTGGGAGGATCTAAGTTAATATCAGGGGGCAGGTTTGAAGGTTCTAAGTTTGGGTTGCCCAAAATTGCTGCTAATGTATTTTCATCAACAGTCAAGTGCCCTTCCCTCCACATTATAGGTAAATCCATCTTTTAATGGTGATTTTGGAATTGAAAAAAAAACAAAACAAAACCAAAACCAAAACAAGCCTTAAGTCCCATTAAATGGGACTAGCTGCATGAATCTTTCTTCTCCACTCGACTTTATCCAAGGCCATTTCGTTAGTCAAATTAAGGAGATTCATATCTCTATTTACTACACAAATCTACATCAATTTAGGCTTACTCATTCTCCTAACACTACCATCTACTGTCACTATATCGCATCTCTTCAGTACTGTCTTTGTTGGTCTCTGTTATATATGACCAAACCATTTCAATCTATTCTCTCTCAACTTATCTTCTATTGGTACTACTCCTACCCATTCTCGAATATACTCATTCCTAACTCTGTCTTTTCTAGTCTTGCCACACATCCATCTCGGCATCCTCATCTCAGCAATACTCATCTTCTCTACATGTTGTTTCTTAGTTGCCCTTAGTTGCCCAACATTCTGTCCCATACAATATCGTTGGTCTAATAGCTGTTCTATAGAACTTCCTTTTTAGTCTAATGAGTACTCGTTTATTGCACAGTACTCCAGACACACTCCTCCATTTAAGCCATCACGCTTTAATTCTGTGGACCGCATCCGCTTCAATCTCTCCAGTCGTCGTGATAATTGATCCTAAATAACGAAAATGATCACTCTTAAGTAGTTCTTGGCTCTCAATCTTTACTTCTCCTCTGCTTCCATTGTGACTGTTACTACAATTACACTCCATATACTCTATTTTAGTTCCGCACGATTTTGGAATTGAATTGTAAAATTAATTATTTTTGGTGGGGCATCATTTTCTAGTTGTTTCAGCAGACGCTAGAAGTGCTGGCTATGGCCAATGGACCAAACAAATAAATAAATAAATAAAGAAGAAAAAAAAAAAAGAGGTAGGTTCAAGGATTTTCGCATGGAGGAAAATGACTTTTGTTTAAACTAGTCGACCATTACTAATTTTTAAAAATGACTGCATAAAGTTTAGAATAAAAAAATATTAACGAAAGTGTGTATCATTATGATGAAATCTATTTTGTCTTATTATGCGGATGAAAAAAATTATTATGATTTTGTTGGTACTTTTCCATTATGATAGGAAATGAAAATCTCCATTCCAATACTTAAGGTGCAACACATCATCAGAACTCGATGTCAACAGTCTATAAATTGCCACGTTATTATGAGTTTTAGTACTCCCTTTAATCACTTTTGGCTTTAAACAAAAATTGGTGACATGGCTCTTTCATATCCATTGATTATAAAAAATAAAATATAAAAACGGAATGCCATTATGAGTGATGAATATGGGTCGATGGAGGCAGCATACTCCAAGAATCAATGAGGACTCATATCTTACAACAAAATGCTCTATGATTTACAGGTGAGGCAGACTTCTTGAAGGAAACAGGGATTGAATTATTGGAATCATTTGAGGAGCCAGTTGTGATTGATCACCCCAAGGGGCACACAATAGCAAGACTTGGTTAGTATTATGCAATTCTATCTCTTGGTTTCGCATATATATGCATATTTATAATGGATAAATGAGGATTGTACGATGAAATTGGTAGGAATTCCATGAATTTGGTTGCATTTCAACAGATTCACATATGTTTGAAGGCACATACTCATTCTCTTATTAGATAATAGAACCATCTCAATATGCATAATTTTAAAATTCAATTTAGGTTTATACCATTAGTTACGTATATACAATTAAAATTTAATTTTCTTAATTTTAAATATGTACACCTTTTGGAATCCGACCTATCTAGAAATTAAAATGTGGCATTTGTTGTGTAGCGTAAGAGTAAAATTGTTAGAGTAAATGCAAAAATAAATTCCAATACCTTGCATACTCTTCAGGGCAGAAAAATTTGAAAATAGTGAGAATAAAGCATTTCAAATTTGATCTAAGTTTGTGTTCACATAACATAATTTTAATCTCTTTATCTAAATATGTTATAAATATGAAATTGAAAATATTTTATAGGTAATCAATGGCAAATACATTTATATAGATACAAGATATTATACACTTATGTTGGCGTGTCTTTAATATATCTGTATCCTACTTTTTTAGAATATTTGATATCAACGGACTCGAACCTTGTCATACCCATATCCTGTAGTCGTACCCATAACCTATATTCATATCCATACTCCATAGCTCAGAAGTGTAGTGTATTCTGTATATTTTGGTGACTATAGTATACACCAATCACATTTATTTTGTGGCACCACCTGACAATGCTTCATGGGTGTGGAATAACTCCTCATGAACCAGACTCTATTTGATTTTTTTCCCCTTGGTTTTACATTTGAACAGATGAGAAAGGCCTGAAGACAATGCTCAGCTTCATTGAAAAGGTCAAGGAGATTCAATTGCAGCAAGAATAGAACTGCTTAATGATGCTGCAAATTGTTTTATTTTTATCACGAAATATGATTATGATAATTGTGCAGGGTTACAAATTTACCAACCCTAATATATTTATTTGAATAATAATCCATCGTTTTGAGAAAAGATGCAATTATCTATGTTTTACAACACAGACAGTATGTAGTAACTAGAGCTAATTGGCAAAAGGACAGTGTCTTGTTTATGGCTCAAGCTTCTTAATCCAAAAAAAATAAAATATAAAAAATCTTCTTCTTCATTATATTATTATTATTTTTATTAATATTATTGTATAAATCAAAGAAAAAAATTTGAGCAACCCGTTTTGCTTGCAAAATTCTATGGAGATGTTCGTCTTTTGAATGAAAATGGACGAGTACACACCAAAGCCGGGAACTGATGAAATTCGGGGAAAACATGGACATGGTTTCAAACATCTCTTTGTTCTGCTTGACCCCAGTTTTTCACTCGAGCCACTTTTTGAACCCCTCCCCACTTTGCTTTGCCATGCCACTAGATTCATTCTGACCGGTAAGTCAGGATATGCACAAATATAATCACATAGAGGGCTGGGCTGGCCTATCAAAGAAAGAGATGAAGAAGAAGTTCCATGTAAGAGGAAGTCCCAATAATTCCATACTTTTTTCGTAGAAATTTTGATTAACAACACTGATGAGGGCAATATCTACAAATTTCCATATTCAAGCTCAGCAAAATGCTCAACTCTCCTTAAGGTTCTTCTAGCCCGACATAAATCACCAATTGCTAGAGAATGTAATTCCAAGCACACTACAAGTTTTCCAAAGACAATATACAAGATCAGATTGAGCAATTGAGCATTTTCAAGCATGAGATTCGACCATTGAAATTTAAGAATTAGGGACTGTCTGATTGTTCGGATCAGATATAAAGGGTTAGGAAGGATATATAATATTTAGGAATATAGGATAAGATATAAAATGTTTAGGATATGATATATTTTATATATATTTGGAGTCACTCTTATTATGTTTGGCTAGTTGTTACGACCCAAACCCGCCCCTATAGGTTTAGCATCGTAACCGGCCAGTAATCATTGGATTACCGAAGGCCTCTGAACAGATTAACAAAATTAAGGGGCTAACGGAAGCTAATACATAAATATAATTGTCCAATGAGCTGTGCTGACTTATATGAAACGGAATATTTAAAAACTTTATATACATAATCAAAAGTCATTCATACATTATACCCACACGCATTCGAGTATCTTAAGTACAGCCAACAGAACAAACGAGTCTTATATATACAGAAACAACAGAACTTAAACACTTGAGACACTCCAGGAACCTCCACGTGAGGCATAAGGGTTGGCTGACAACAGAACATAGATCCAGACAAAAGCCTTCAGGCTCGATCTCCAGAGCCATATATATACACACAGTGAGCTAAAACCCAGTGACTAAAATCAATGTAAAGAGGTTAGTGAACGAAATCCGAACATATCATAAGCGTAAAACAGATCATAGCATAATCATTCTCGTATCATAACATAATATTGGTACATCCCATAGAACACATCACATAACGTCTTCTGACTAGAGTAATCGGTTCCGGATACCGATTAAACACATATCACCACAATGAAGTGGCTAACGAGATCTCGTAATTACTTGTATGTTATGGACCCGCATTTTCATGCCGTCCCCCATGACTTGGGACTATCTATGGATGCCATAATAGATTTCAAACATGGAATATTCGTTCACGAAAATAGATATCATTTCAGAAATCACAGCATATCATATTTCATTTAGAACATAATTCATATGAACGTATCTTTACTATAACGTTACTCATAGTGGTTCCAGTAAGCAGTCAATCAATCCTCGAGTTTTGACCTACGATCACAAAATACATAACACAAGAATGTCTTATCATTACACATTCAAGTGGCCATTAAGGCTTAGCTTTCATTAAATTGGTTCTTATTCTTTCTTACCACATTGCCTAAAACACACACACATGTGCAGTCTTGGAACTTAGTACATTATTTTCTTAGTGTGTTTCTAATCCATAACCTCATTACTATGGCTTAATTAAGGCTTAGGAATGCCTAAGATGCAATGAAGATGCCAAAACATGCCTTGGAACACTTAGGAAAAATTTCTAAAAATAAGGTCCACGCTCGAGCGGACATGCAAAATGTGAATGGTCGCTCGAGCGCACATTACTTCGCTCGAGCGATCTGTAAAAGACATGAAACTTCTGGGAGCTTGCAATTCACGCTTGAGCAGACTTTTGGTCGCTCGAGTAGAGTGCACGCACTCAGAGTGGTCGCTTGAGCGTGAACTCCCACGCTCGAGCGTAGATGCAAATTCTGGAATTTCTAGATTGCACCTTCAAGCTCAAAACTCGAATTCCAACCTTCAAAACACATCTCTTGGGCTCCAAAACTTGAGCTAACATAGTAAACTTGTAAAACATGAAAAATTACGGATTATTTCATAAAATCATGGCTTAAGAGTTTGTTAAAAACTCACAATTTCAACTTAAAACTTGGTGAATGTTCATGAACACAACATGTATGGGTTTTCTTGGTCTTGAGCTTCCCAAAACATGATCAAACACCACAAAACAACTTGAAACTTGATGATTTCCCCAAATGAAGATGAATTTCAAACATGCAAGAGAGGATTCATGGAAATCATGCTCAATTTATAAGAAAATGTACATGCATGCATGAATTGCCACTCAAATCTTTCTTCTAAGCTCAATACACACCCTTAAACACATAATCTTCATGTTGATAACTTAGATTCATAATTTAGGGGTTGAATTCATACCTATAGTCTTGAATCAATCTAGCTCTCGTTTAGTTTTGATGAATCTAAGCCAAGGTCTTCAATTCTCCTTCAATTCCTTCAACTGTCTCTCTAGAATTGCACACACACTCTCTAAAAGAAAACCTCAAATTTTTGCACTAAGGGGAGCAAAGAATTGAGCTCAAAAATGAGTTTAGGCTCATATATATGTTTATGGTGCTAAAACACATTAATTAGAATATTAGGCTAACCAAACATGACTTAATTAATCGTTCTGAGTCAATTTTTAATAAAACTCACCATATGGTTCTAAAAATTCCAAGTAACATATCGGTGTAGTCAATTTCGGTTTCGGATGCCAATAAGGCTTTCAATTTACATATTAAAGTGGAATTCCAAACATATATTTCTATAAGTAACAGATAGAAGGCCAAATATCATGCAATTTACATATTAATCCCATAATTCATTTGATCCACTCAATTAGCATCTTTAATCATTGATTAGTGGCTAATTACGGGTTGAGGTTATTACAGTCTCCCCACCTTAAAAAGTTTGGTCCTCCAAACTTGAGTTAACGCATGTCAACAGAAATAATGCCCATCATAAATGTAACTTTAACTCTTTACAAAACAGAAGCATAACCATAATCATAAACATGTTCACGCTCAGGGTTCATATCAAAACAGAGTCTTATACGCATTCAGATTTTAGTCCAGAACAGATTCAGATACATGTTCATGTTCCTAATCTTGTCCAGATCATACACATATGTCACAATTCTTGCTTAAGCATACGTGGTGCATTCATTAGCACTAACAGAGTAGATTCAGAACAGATGCAGACATAGTAGATATAGAACAGATGCAGACACGTGATGGTTATGAATAACCAGTTCCATAAAGGAACCTCTGAATTCGGGAACAGAGAACAAATAAGCTAAGCCCCCATGACGGGGCCTCCGGTACGGGTAACAGAGTGCAGACAAATATAAGTTCCATAAAGGAACCTCTGATATCGGGTAACAGCCAACATATATCACATAATACCAAGAGTCACACAAATACATATCAGAGATTGGATAATTATTCATTGCACAACATATAATATTTCAGAAAACAGATCCCCTTTAGACACACAGAGAACAAATACAGTTGAACACAACTTTACTAGGTTATCATTCACATTACTTATATCAAGTACTTATCGGGGTCATAGATTCACGCTGCCTCCATTTTCATAAGTAATTTCCCCCGTTAAGTTACAGAAATTTGATTTATTCATTTCCGAGTCATTCATCTGGTCTTTGTTCAACTTGGTTTTCAATTCGGTAATCCATTACAGTTAGTCCAGGTCATCCAAAGTATAGCAGAAATACAAGGCAATTTCGTACATTAACCCCATAGCAGTAAACGAAATTCCGAAGTAATCATTCATATACTATTCATCAGTCTCAGTTTCCACAGATTCAATCGTACTATGTGTCAATACAGAAGCAGTCATACTGATTGCGTATCCTCTCAGGTAGTCAGAGTTTATAATCAAACCAGTCTGCTGTCAATAAGTTCTATCAGTTTTGAAGTACAGTAACACAAAAGCAATCATTCTCTTATCAAACAAGTTCATGGTAGTAATACCAGAGTAATTAACGTGTCATGTATACGGTATTCCCACGTTACCCAAGCACAAGTTACCAAATTTCATAATCTCATTCACATGTTTTCCCAATCGGTTACAGGCATATGGTAAAAAGCTATTCGTAATCACATTGTTTGCTGTTGATGGTTCACATTCTTCTTAAGGGTTCAAGATTGATTTTAGTTCTCATTCAGTTAGTTCCCTTAGCAACACGGCCCTGTTATTCAATCGTAAGTAATTCACACTCCCCTATAATGTAACCAAATCAGATAATAGTTCTCTATTTAGGTAAAGGTCTCTTCAGACCAAATCAAATGAAAGTCCTATCGGATCATATCAGATGAAAGTTCTACCCAGTCATATTAAATAAAAGTTCAAAGCGTGAGTCATCAAATAGAAATTCTCTCAGGTAAACAAAGGTCTCGTCAGGCCATAGTTCTATCAGATTAGATTGGGTAAAAGTTCTATCCTCATCATTTCCAAACGAGGTACATAAATTCTATAGTTCATACTCCATTCGTTTAGGTGCATAGTTAGTAGTTCTACAGTTGTTCTAAGTTTCTCGATTCTCAAATCACATCAGAGTCATGTATCACAATAGTTCATATCGAAGATATGATAACCCTGTTCCGTTTTGTGCTAATTGGTCCTTAATATGAATATGATTATGTGTTTAATGTGATTTTGTGTGCCATTATGTGAAAATATGTGGCTTTGAATTTCTATCTGTTCACCGTAGGAATATCTATTTGACTATCTGCTTTGGAAATTAAATTGAAGGCCCTATCGGGCACAGAAACTGAAA